ATCACCTCTAACAAATATTAATAAAACGCTTAATTTTTATTAAATAATAAATTTTTATTCACTCACCTGGAGGTCCTCCATGATGCAATGGACCTCGACGACAATAATTCCATTGATTGTGCCCAGCATAAGGGTGATTATGCCTTCGAAAATGATCCATTCCAGGATGAAAATGATGTGGTCTACAGTGCCGGTCAAAATTCATGCACATTTTCATACTGCACACGTAGACTGCTCTACTACTAACACTGTTTTGTTTTAATTTGTGTTATGATAGTTCACTGTCGGACCTCAAACTGATATGTCTCCATGGCGTGCTCTGCAAGTTGCATATATATATAAATTAAATCAATAAACAATGTTGTGAAACATTATGAAATATTACGTAAAAGCGATGAGTCATTTACCACTTTTTCTAGTATGTAGACGAGAGGATTTGTCCGTTTCCAAAGGATAAGGTAATTATCTACATACGTGCATGTATCTGGGAAACTGCGCGCTGGTAGTAAAAGTATATATTGGATTGAAAACTTTATCATAATATGATATAATATTGCTGTATTATTGTTGCAATTTTTTTGTATATGTATTTGACCATGAACAGGGTAGCTCATGTGAAACAATAGATAGGTACATAACTCTATATATTTAGTATGTACTGTGGTATCTTTTACTTGTGATAGGTATATGTTTCTGTTACAAAACATATAGGCATTTAATAAATAAACACAAATTAATTTCCACAAATATATTAATAAAATACTATTGTTTCGCCTCCTAGACACTTCTTCAGAACTATTAATTTGTGTTTATTTAGGCATTTTTCAATTTGGTTTTATATTTGTACTAGACCCAGATGTTATCGAAGTTAAATTACCACCCTTTATATCGGTCTCACGCAGACTATCCATTAGAATATTTCAGGAATTACGTCGATTTAAATTTTGAAAATTTGGACATTAGCATAACCTCTCCTCAATTAATATAACGGCATCTATCTAGTACTATTATTATATCAGAAGTTGACATCAACTTCCTTATTTTAAATGGTGAATTGGACCTATTTTATTGTATACAGTTCTTCTAGCAATTATATTATTACATTTTGAGTATTATTACAATCTCTTTGCTAGTTGTATGTGATTTTTTTTATGTTTTCGTGGAAGAGGGGAAATCTTCAAAAGACACCCAGCCGTCCGTACGATTGGGTAGTGTCGGATTCCCGAGGAAGAAGTCTTCGGACCCACCGACTAAAACCTCCCTACTTCAGGCCGTTCTAGGACCAATTAAGGTTCTCTTCAGCCGAGTATGTAACTTCTTTTACCTTAATTTATATTGCCAAAATTCCCTTATAATTGTTGTAGCCTTGTAAGGGCTTGTATCTGGCAATTTTGCTACTACCTATCAGTAGTGCAGAATAAAGCGGCATCACCAAAACTAATTATCGGTGCATTTAGTTATTGAGAGAATAACGCATAGACATTTATTTGTTTGGAATTTTATAAAGTTTTAGCTGTCTGCATTGTGATCTGTGTTTAAAATTATATGAATCTCTTTTCGCATTACATGATCTCTTTTAATGATGTGAATCTGAATCTCAATGATCTGAATCTCAATGATCTGAATCTCTACTTTGTGAATCTCTTTTAGAAACTAAAAACTACGACTTAAACTTAAATATGTAAATAAAGATACGCATAGGCACATAAGAAACCCTTCTCGAAATCGAAAAAAAGATTTTGATTCTGAAAGAAACTATTATTTGAAAAAAGCAGACGTTAAAAAGAAACTGAATTTTGAGTGAGACGAATTCATGAATAGGACTCGAACACGAACATTTTGTGATTATTTAAATTTAAGTTTGAAAATTTAGTCAGGCTTTAACAGAACACTTCATTGCATTTCGTAGAAGTGTTTATAAAGAGAAAAACCAAATTTTTATAGTAAATAATAGCTTATATATATATAGGTACAATATCCCCAAAATACCAAAAAGCGAATTGAAAGAAGTTAAAGTTGCTAATTTTCTGTTTATAAGTTTCCGTTAAACGATATGTTTATAATACAGTCATTAGTATGAGCTGTACACCCGTTAAAAGAACGCAAGAAATCATGATCACAAATCACTTTGAAAATACATTTGCAGAGAAACCGACTCTTATTATTTACACTTAAAAAATATCTTCCTCATAGTCGATAAGAATCTTGTTAAATACAACTAATTAAAACAAAACGATTTCAACTACAGAATCTTTAGAAAAAAGCTAGTATTCCCTACTTAAATCTTTTATTAATCTTAACTTCTTATTAATATTAATANCTGAATAAGATAATTATAGTTGGCATTTGAGCGTGGAAATATTTATTTATACAATAATCCTTGTTTTTTTTTGAGTTTTTGGCAATGACAATAATTTTATGGTGTATATTATCCAGAGTGGTGTGCATTTTTAATAGTTTTAGTGAAACTATACGTTTGTGTACTCTTCAGTCAGCAAATCGGTCAGAAATTTCACTTTTCGATTAAAGATCCTAGAAAATTTTGCAAACGATTCTGCCATTATTTGTAGTGGTTTCAAGATTCCAAATGTAAACTAGAATCAAAAAGTCTAACTAACTAACTAACAGCTCACAATCTTTCAAGAGTTTACAATCTCGCGAGACAGATTATAACCCAACTACAATTTTACGGCGACATAGATATAGTACGCTTAATGTAAATTTAGAATTATTATTTCATGATTATATTCTATTAGTAAATCCAATTGAAGGCACTCATGGATCTTAAGATCTTATTTTAATTCTTTTGTTTGTTTTTTTTTTGCGCTAAGTAACATTTAAGTATTTGGGATATCCATTTAATCTTAGTGATATTGAGAGTACTCACCCTTGTAGAGAAATCCTGGGTAGCAAAATTTCTTTCCCTAGAAAAGTCGTCCATGCTATTGTTTTATATATACCACCAAGCGTGAATGCAGCCACCTATGAATCGTTATTTGAAAGCATTAGTAATTGTGTAGAACTGCATAGCAATTATTAATTAATGATATTTGGAAATTTTAAAATTCCTGTCTTGACAGTACAGAGTTTACTGATAAATGTTACAAAAACTTTTTGAGCGGACACGTGTTTTGCCCACTTTATACGGGGGCATTATCAACGCGAGACTGGTTCTAAAATTTAAAATTCTAACTATTTATAGTGGCGGGGGTTGAAGATCGAAAGAAGAAATAATGGATAACAAAGGAAATAGTCTTCCTTTTAATTAATTATTATTTACCACAGTCTCCTTTTTTTACTTTGAATAACGGTAGAATTTTAGACCTGGTTCTTTCGAGATCCAAGCTATCTGTTAAAAGGTCTCAGTTTTGTCTTTTGAATGAAGATGAACCTCATCTAGCTCTTGATATTAAAATTGCATTGACGAGTGCGTATCAAACGTTTTCAAAAACTCTCGCGCTAAATACAATTTTAAAAAAGCAAATTTTCCTGCTTTGTATTCCATCTTAGCAACTACTAATTTACGTTGTTTGAAGCATTAGTGGTGGATTACTATCTCAAGTGAATTAAAAATAAGATCTGGAGATCCACGAGTAACTTTATATGGGTTTGCTAATCTATAAAAATAAAAATGAATCGCTAAAAGTGTTGCTATGCGCAACACTCGAGAACGGCTGAACCAATTTCGATAATGCTTTTTTAAATATTCCTTGAAGTCCGAGGAAGGTTCTTATTAAAAGAAAAATTGGAAAAATTGCCCAGAAATACGTAAAAACCTCACTTTTCTTTTCCAATACAAACCACAGAGTAAATTAAAACATCTAAATTTACAGTAGATTTCGAAAAGAAACCCTCTATGCTACAAAAAGGTTCTTGTTGTTAGATTCCAGAATTCTGCAGTCATATTGGAAATCAACAACACATATTTGTTGCTAGCTATTCCACAATGACCAACTTGATACTTTACAATGATTTTATCGTGAAATTTTTGAATAACTCGTGTCAGTTGATTTTATAGATTTTGCCAAGGCATTTGATAGTATAGACCTCCAGTTGTTATCTCAGAAATTGAAAGTTTTCGGATCGAACGTAAGCAGGTAGAGATTCTTATTGGAGTTTGAAATTGTAAGGTCGTGGGCCCCGCAGGGTTCACATCTCGTTCTTATAGTTTCTTTGATTTTTATCATGATTGATTTGTTTTCAGAATAAAAAGAATCAAATTAAAATCTAGTCAAGCCCAAAAGTAGTTTTGAGGACAGCCTGGAATAATTTTTAAGAAGGCCCAGACAAGTGTACGAATAGTCCTGTTCAAAAAATTACTACATATTTTGCTCTACCGTTCCAAAGCTATGTAGGTCTTGGAACAATTTACAGGATAGGAGTGTTCAATGGCTGTTGTTTTTTTAGTAAGTAAGTTATGCTATTATTATATTCCATTATACACAATTTATCTTTTAATTTTGTTCAAGAGTGTTATAGCTCGTTTTATAAAATTAAATAAACAAATAAAAAAGGGTATGATATTTCTGAATTGTAATAAAGATGATCGGTTTAAATGATTAACAATAAGGATTTTGTAAAATTCCGTCCGACTTTACTAAAAAGCGGTTTGAAAGATATTTACGAATGAAAACGAAAAAAAAAACGTTATTGGCTTGTAATCAGATCATAAGTCTAAGTCTAGACGACGAATCTAACAAGCGTGCCTACTTTCGTTATACAGTATACTATCATTTAATCACAAGTACGCTAATTATAGTGTATTCAAATTGATATTGAACAATGTCAAAAACGTGGGATATAATTCGAGTGTATAGTTGGTTGCATACATCCCAATGACATGTATACTTCATTTACTTTCTGTAGTGATGTGCCCCTTCCAATGTCTTGGATGCGCGCTGGATAAATCGTAGGTAGGGAGGAAAAAGCTCATTATACTCTCGACTCTTGTACATTAAACATACTTTTTCATACAGTGCCTGCCAAAAGTTTTGTTCAATCATGAATAGTAGTGCAAGTCGAAAACAAGCGTTGAAGCCTTTAATATGCCTTCAAACATCTCGTTGATATTTTCAGTAGTAATTGGTACCAATAACAGCACATTTGAGCAATGCAATTGTACTGGATAAAATGGTCAATTTTTCCGTGCAGTACTGTACGGATTATACGCTCCTCACCGGTTAAGAGTTTGGCCGAGAGTTGTCTCCATCCTTTTCTGGCCTAGTGTTGTTCTTTTCTACCGTGCACCGGTCAAACTGAAGGTCACATCGCTACAGAAAGTAAACGAAGTATAAAAACAATTAACGTATTGTTTGACGAGTAAAATTGGTTGTATATACATTGTATACCTACTTCAAGTATACATTACAAAATTATTGAGAAATGTTAAGGTTTAAAGGCTACTAGCTAATGGCTTAGGTTATATTATGAAGGGAATTGTTTTCAAATTTTATGCAACATTGACGAATGTACCAAATTTTTATGGATTAGGGTCTGTATTCCTAATAAAGCTATATGTTTAAATTATTTTTAAGTCACAATAATAATAGGGTTAAAAGTATTATATTTATTTAAAAACTACACTCCGACGTTTCGCCCAGGTTGTTGGACTTCCTCAAGGCTCCACTAAAGGGTGATATAAATGTTTGATTATGTTAACAGTTAAATAAAGATCCAACCGAAAAAAGTATTAAGAAAAGGTTGTTCAGAATTCCAAAATATGGATCTATGCAAAAGATCGCGATGATATTCAACTGTTCTTTTATTTTTAAGATCATTTGGTACAGCTTAGCAAAGTAAGTAATTTGTTGACAGTTTTGAAATAGTTTAATTAATTGTTAAATTACTTCAGGAAGAAGAATTTAAAATAATTGCATTTAACTCATTTATTTATTTACTACAGAATAATCTGTCAATTTTTGATTATCATGGAATCTCCTCCAAAAATCTCATTCTATTTAACTAATTTACAGATAAATATATATTCACATTTATATTTTTCTGTGTTATTTAAGAAATAATCTCATGCTATTTTAAGAAGTATGCCTTTTATTAAAACTCATTTTTTTCTTCCAATTTTCCTTTGGTATTTTCAACGACCTGCTGAATAATTTCTGCAATGTCCAAAATTATGATTTCGTCTGTCTCGTCTACGAGTTAAGTGGCTACAGTTTAATCCAAAAGAATGGTTAAATGGTTCACGACTTCGCACTGACTGATCGTATGGACCATTGCCAAAAGGTGGTCGGCCAAAGGGTGGACAACTTAAAGGCCTTCCTGACAACTGCTGAGGCTCGGGTCTATCATTGTTTCTGCAACAGTGGTGGCAATTTGGACGATTTCTTTCAAAGCTACAATAATCATGTTGACAAGGGTGAGGATGGTGATGACAGTTAGCCCCCATAAACATAAATGGTGGAAGAGCATGAGGGAAGCCTGAAAATAGCAAACAAATATGTTTTTAAAAATTAAAGTACTAGGGGATGCTTTGAGCTTTGAGTAGGAGTCACTAGTTTTAAGTGCATTATTTATGATTTGAAAAAATTGTAATTAATATTAGGACATGTTCCTGTTCATTTTTAAGAGCTACAGAAATAGGTAGGTACTGTTACGTCTTGAAATGTAAGATTTAATTTTGTTTCCGACGAACCTGGATTTTTTGTTTTTTTTTTGTATGAATTGTTCTAACATACAGTTTTAAATTAATATTAAATAATGTAAAAACATGGTGACACTACCCAGTCAGTAAAATAAT